ACACATGGTTTTCAGAAGCGATAGATCCGGATGAATAAAAGTCGAAATATGCCCAAAAAGATCTAGTCATATACAGACACCATTCCGAATGAGAAAATCTATTTTTTAATATGTACTTCTTGACTATAATGACTTGCTTTTCTTAGCTTTTTCTGATCTTTGATGTGAGTAGTCTTTCAATTTCAAACGAGCGGCAGAATGAATGCTAGTGAGAGAGGAAGACCAATGCCTCTTTTCAAATATTTCTTTTTTTCTCCATTCTTCTTCGTCGATCCAATTAGCAGTCGTGTGCTTGCCATTCAAGAGCTGTGTCTTACTTCTTCTGAAAGGTTTCTCACTCAGAAATGGAAAAAAGATCAATAAAGAAACGAATTGGCCATCAATGATGAATGAGCGAAAAAAAAGCACTGACTTTTTATTTTTGCTCTTTCGAAATTACTCTGACGCTGTTCTACGCAGTAATAATAAATAATTTTTTTATTCTTTGAATAAAGAAATGCATTTGAAACGGAAAAAAACTGAATTATGAATTACTCTTATGTGATTTACATCGAATTTCACTGAGAGCCTTTCTTCTTCAGTCTCACATCTCATTGTTGACTGAGAATCCATAGCTTTTTCCATTCGTACCAGAGATCGGAACGAAAAAGAAAATTTCGATTCCATTAATACTGAAAAAAAAGACAACTCTTACATTGTCATAAGTAAAGTGTATCTATTATTCCACATAAAATTTCACTTAGGTTTTTGTCTATCTATATGCTAAATCAATTGATTAACGATAATTCGTATGCTTTAAAGCGGAGCTACAGTACATATTAGAACTTGGTTGAATATACAATGCTGTTATTATTATCTTCTTTGAGGAAAACGCACATATTAGGAAAAGGAGTGGATCGATTTCACAGTCTTTGAATTAGAAAACTTCGATAGTTGGTTTTCGGTCAAGTTTTTCAAAGTCAGCTGTCACTACAATTAGCAAATAAGAATATTTATTAGAAGAGTAATAAATCATCAAAAATACGTACATTTATTTATAACTGTAATTCTGATCATTCAGTCAAAGCGGCAAACGTCCGTCATACCTATAATAGAACACCACCCATAAATCGATTAAAAGGATGTCCAATATTGGCAGCTTGCTTGGAAGCTCTAAATACTACATAAAGCTAGAAAACTCTACTAGGTATATGAGAAGAGAAATAGCCATGAAAACAGCTGCACATGTATATATTTCCTCTAAAATTATCAATTTCAGAATTAATTCATAGAAACTAACTTTCTTTAATGGAAATACAAATCATACTTGAACTACTATCGGAATTTTAAAAGAATACCGGTGGAAAAAAAGCTTATAATTTTTCAACGAAAAGCCAAAGCGACCTGCGGTTTTCACCATTTGAAAGAGCAAAGTGGGGCACGTGAACCTATGTAAAAATCGATGGGTCAATTCATAAAAGTACCTGTTACCTGGATTTTCAAATTTGGCACAAAATTGCAGTGAATATATCCATTTTTGATATTTAACCTCGGAATATAACTGATTCCAACATCAGATATACAGTAGACGGTGCCTCTGTATCACTGGAACTCAACAAGATAAAATGTTGAAGTTATCTTGTTTGAAAGAAAAGGATTCCTTATGAGAAAAAGGAGATTGGACGTTTTGAAATATGAAGCTTATTTTAGCTACTTTCGACAAATTGTTAAAAAGTGACAAACATATGCCTTGTTTAAGAGATCGACTTTTACATAGGTTCATGTGCCCCACTTTGCTCTTTCGAATGGTGAAAACCGCAGGTCGCTTTGACTTTTGTTCGAAAGTTATAAGCTTTTTTTCCACCGGTCTTCTTTTAAAATTCCGATAGTAGTAGACTTCACAATATAAAGAGATTGATACAGTTTACAAAAGCACAAGACACGGAGAATATGAATCCGATGCTCAAGTGAGTTTTATTCCTTTTGTCTGAGACTTAATGAAAGAGATTCTTATTGAGTCGAATAGAGAGATTTAAATTTGACTCGATTCGATTCAGAGTCGGTCTCTGTTTCCAATGTAATTTTCGATTTAACGCAAAGAATGAATAGTCAATCCAGAAATTCTGAAATCCATCGGAAACCTAGGAAGTTCGATAGAACTTTAAAGTTCTAAGCTCTTCCTCCTTAAAAAATATGTATTTTCATCGAAAACAAGAAAATTTAGATGAATGCTTGAGAAAGTGGCCCGCTGCCCGATCCTCCATAAATGATATAACTTTCAATATTGGCACCTTGTTTTTTCCAGAAATTTCCGTTATTTTCTGCTTGAAGAATATGCTTTTTCTAGCATAATCGGAAAAACTCTCGCTTTTTCTCAGTTTATAGCTTTTAGATTGTGCATCCCAGAACTCTTAAAGGAGTTTCATTGTAATCAATGACTTGTTTTGTTTGAAATAGTACATAAAGTTGCAGGACATGCCAGAGTTATTTTTTTGAATTAAGCTTTATTACTATTATATTAAAAAGTGTCTGTATAAGTAGGGCGCCATTTCTTTAGAGTTATTCATTCTTGTTATTCCCATAGAGAGTAAGAATTTACAAAAAAGAGCTCTGTTATACTCTGCAATCTAACAAAAGAAAATGAAACATATAGAATGAAAGTCAACAAAAAAGTTTTGAATGCCAAATGGGATATTTTTGGTCCTTGTTTCGTTAATATCTCCCAAAAATATTATATTGTAGTACTGAAAGTTGTACCAGTCTACCCACTATAGCTCCAACAAATCGCGAAAATTTCATGTGATTTGCATGTTCCTGGGCCAAGATCGACTTTTGAGGATGGGAGGACTTAAATCATTGGATGTTTTGCTATTGTAGAAAAATCTGTTGGCGTGTGTGAACGATTCATGGAACATTTCTAATAACACTTTTCATAACTCGTTCATTGAGAAGCTTATGTTTTCTTTCTGGACAAAGCAAATTTATCTCTTATTATATGGATTTCATTCTTTGAATAATAAGCATAGAAAAAAATAGAATATAGCTCATAAATATCAAAACAAAACAAAAAAATCCTTGAAAATAAAAGACTTTAAAAATGCCTCGAAGATTATAGGAGAATTAACGATGATAGTAAATTACTGCTATTTGTTTATAATCTCATACATGCATAATCAGTAAAAGAAATCTTAAATCTAAATTCTTCAAGGGTATAGGTATGGTTTTGTCTGCATCCATACACACACGTGCATATCCACAGCCACACCTATATCACAAACTAAAAATTAATAATTTCAATAAATACTCACAGGAATAATCAGCCTCACGGTTACTGACTTAGGAACATTAGCGTCCACTGACTGAAAGATTATCACGAGTTATCGAAGCAAATAAAATTGAATAAAAAAACCATTCAAACATGTCTCAGTACTTGTACGCTAATTAGATGATCATTAATATCAAAGGATATCAAAATATAGTCATTAATAAAGAAAATCATTGATACTACTATATACATATAGCTGTGCTGGAATAAATTGATCTAAATTTATCGATAGATTAACGAAGAAATAGGTTTAGTTGCTGCAATTGGGGCGGTGATAAGGCAATCCTCAGAACTATATCTGAATGAAATGCAATTAATTAGCCATCAATATGTACGTATATCAATGGCCATGGACGAAGAAAAAATGACAAAGAGATACCAACATGGAAAGCTGTTGTGACACCATTTATTGAATGAAGCTTTGTTAGTCATATATTGAAAAGGACTTTTACAATTAGAGCGGCATCTTCTTAAGATTTTTCACGTAATTGAACTCTTTAGTCCTTTTCTCTGCTTGAACGATAAGAATTTCTAAAAAAAGTGCTCTGAGAGGCACTGCATTCTGACATACTCTTTCAAACAAAAAAATGAAATATATTGACGGAAGACCAAAGAGAAGTTTTTGAGACGAAATGAACTATTTATTTACTCTTGTTTGGTGGATATCTCGCTCACAGACCATAGTACAGGGTTGAAAATTTTATCATAACCTCTTCACTACAATCCCAACATGCCCTATATATTTCATGCGACTTCAGTGTACCTGATCTGAGATCGATTTCTAAGGTGGGGGGGGGGGGGGTCTTAATCCAATATATGAAACTTGGGGTATCGTTTAGCCCCAAAAAAAAAAAATTCTTTACATTTAAGACCCAAAAAGAACTTATTTGTGAGAGAAAAAGA